ACAGCTCACATGAGTAGGAGCTGGAGCTGGTTAACAGCTCACATGAGTAGGAGCTGGAGCTGATCAACAGCTCACATGAGTAGGAGCTGGAGCTGATCAACAGCTCACATGAGTACGAACTGGGGATGGTCACCAGCTCTTTACTACATTTACTCACAGTTCATGAGCTTGAACTGTCACACCCCTAGTCTAAACTTAGATACCTTTGGTCTTGGGTTTCTAATGAGAATTTTCGAAGAAATAATTTTCTTCAAATTTTCATTGTAAATTTAAATTATAAAAACTTAACTTTTTTAAAAATGAAAAGTAATGTTTTTCAAGCGTGAGAAAGTCATATCGAGGTCTCATGTTTCATTCTTATAAGAGGTTGACCCAAAGCCAAGCACTGAAGCCTTGGGGACTTAAAGGATTAATCCCGAGGTATTTAACTGTGTCTGAATAGCTTAGCATCGAGATATTTTGTCCTCTCACCTCAAACATTGGCTGTGTAGCCACCTTCGATTTCTTTCCTTTTTATCCCTTGAGCAAGACTATTGACACACATTTGTTGACATAGAGTTCTAGCCCTCTCGCTGCTAGAAAGTCGACTGTTGTCTCCAGTAGACTCTGTAGCTCGATTTTAGAGCCAGACGCCAATGCCAAATCGTCAGCACCATGCCATGGCACTTGCCTTCCCCACTCCCTCGAGACTGTATCCAAAGCGATCGCCAAGTAACTCGAAAAGTTCATCGAGCACTAGGTTGAATAATATTGATGAGATTGGATCGTCTTGTTTCACTCCCCTCTTCAGCTTGATCAACAACGAACTCTTATCAGCATACGATAGGCTGGTAAACGCTCTCATATACTGATTCTCCACCAATTTAATAAATTCGTTCGGAGCTCCTTTGCGCATCAACGCTCTAATCGCTGAGTCATGCGGCACAGAATCAAATGCCTTCGAGACATCCAACAGACACAGATATAGATCGCGTTTATGTGTGCGGGCATGTCGTATGAGATGATGCAATATCGCTATGTTTTGTCCAACTCCATTCAGTGGTTTAGAACCCTTTTGTCGAGCATCAGTTTGAGATACTTTGGACATTCTTTTGGCCAGGATGTTGTTGAAGAGACGAATTAGGATGGAAGCAATTGTTATTGGATGCCAGTTCTTGATGTTATCTAATTGTACCGTTCCTTTCGGTAGTAACTTTGTTCGATTCAGCTTAAGGCTGGCCGGAACCCGCCTTAAACCGAGCCAAACATTCATTGCCGCCCATAACTCGTGCGTTTTGCTCTTCTTCAACTTCCATAATGGTAACTGGTCTGATCCTTTTGCCATGTCCTTCGATGTAGTTTTCAAGGCCCATGTAATATCTTCTAGTGTGATAGGTGGTGCTAGAAGAATATCAGTCCCCACCTCCTTTCCACGGACAAATGCACCGTTATCCCGCGTTACCTTCCACCATACATTTTGGAAATGTTCATAGGCAAGTCCGATGGGTGGACATTCGGCTGTACTATTCACCCCATCGAAAAGCTCGGCAGCTAAATTAGTTCGATCATGCTTGTAGAGATACTGATGATGCGCACACCGTTGCATTTTAAGCCGAATTCGCGATATGAACTCTCTTGCATCAGTATTGCTCGAAGCGGCTTCCTGTAGTTGAGAGTATTGAACATTTCCTATAGTAAGCATTAATGCTTCTAGCGATTGTTGCACAGGGTCCTTTTCGATGTCATTGTCAGCAAACTCCACCAACGCGTCCAACATCCCATCGTTGATGTTAACGATGTGTTCCCCAACACCCAAGATGTTGTTCCTCATATATAGTTTTATGTTAGGATACTCAGTCTGGTCTACATCGTTAGCAATATTTTCACGGTCCGAAGTCCAGGAGTAACGAGCCGGTATTTCTGCTGCCAAATCACTGCTGTTTTATTTCATTTCCACAGGATATTGTTGCCCATTCTGGGTAAGGGTGCACGCAGCCACAAAAAGACCGACTGTCGCGAATCACAATAGCTAACCAGCCGGATCAAGGAGCTCAAAAACGGTAACGAAAGAGAGAAAACATTAGTTAAACAGCTTAGACAACCAAATCACTGCTGTTAGACGGTTCGATTAGTCTTTCGCCTCTTTACCAAAATTTGACGATCGATTTGCACGTTAGAAGCGCTACGAACTTCCATCAGGGTTTCCCCTGACTTCATTCTATTCAGGTAAAATTCACCATCTTTCGGGTCTCGCAAGTTGTCGGTTTTCCGGATTTTAAAATTTGAGAAACAGCTTTTAAATTAATGCCAGTGGAGAGAATTCAATCGTCTTCAAAATGAGATGTCAACGACAATTTTTGAATGGAACATGACGGAGTTACGACGAAAACAAAGTCCACCTTCGGAAAACTACACGAAAGCGGCATTTCCAAAGTTCTCGCACCTTCATTTATTTTGGCCAGAACTCTGTCATATTCCATCCAAAAATTGTCGTTGACGTCTCATTTTGAAGACGATTGAATTCTCAACAAACCGGTATTAAAAATTTCAAAGCTTTTTCTCTAATTTTGAAGTCTACACGTTTTCTGGGGCATCGGGATCTTCAGAGGCCCGTATCTTGGGAGCAAAAAATAATAGATTGGGATTTTGACTGATCCATATACTTTCACAAGCGTAAAATCCAAAAATAAAACCCACGCCGTTCACCTTATATTATATGGCGTTTCAATACAGTACGCATCGGAAAATTGCTAAAATCCGAAAAAACCGCTCTCAGTAGACTTCCTTAACTTTTCCGAAAAACTAAAAACCACACTTTCAGGTAGTCTTTTGCTCACTGAACCCGATGCACATCTCCGATTTGAGTTTAGAGTTGAATTTGATCGAGAAAAATTGATTTCAAAACACGTGATTTTCACGTTTCTCGGTTATTTTTCGGAACTCATATAAAAGGATCGCAGGAGCATTTATGAATTTAGGACCAACAAGCCTTTTTATTTCTCCTACCCTTTAGTATGCGCACTGAACTTTCAGCACTTCAACTATAGTGCTTTTGAAAAATTTCACTTTCAAAAATCACTAAAAAAGTTTATATTCATTTAATAGAAATTTATATTCAGGAAGATAAACGCATATTATTCAAAATTTCTGAAAAATTAAAAATTAATTTTTCGTTTAAAGTCCAAATTTCAATTGCATTTAATACATAAAAACCTGCACGAGAAAGGAGAATTTTGGAAAATATAACAGAATTAAACAAGAGTGTTCTCACTACCATCACAGATTTAGCCGAAATATCTTGTCAATTAAAGAATTTTCTGAAAAATAACTTAATCATGCAAGAATATTCTGACTACATTCATAGATTTTGCAGAATTTTGACAGAACTGCAAAATTTTCCCAAATCCTCCATGCGTAATGCCTTGTGAATTTTTCCAGAATTTTGCCGTTTAAAGCAGAACATCCCTCACAAATAAACACTTTTCAGAAAATTCATACGTCATTAAAAACCCCGTTCTTTTTTGCTTGGAAAGGCAACACTCTACTAAACATTAATCGACAATAAGATGTTTCTGAAACGTTCTTGACTAAAAGGTAAAAACTCAGAAAAACGTTTTTCATGGGTGATCCCTGTGTAGGTAAAGGGTTAAAGCAAAACATTGTCAAAGATAACACAATTATGCAAGAATATTCTCAATACCACCAAAGATTTTGCCGAATTTTGTCAAATCCGACCAGAACTTTTGCAAGATATTTCCCGAATCTTGCCAATTAAAGTCGAATTTTCTAACACATAACTTAATTATGCAAGAATATTCTCACTACACGCAGATATTTCCGAATTTTCCGTAATCCTAGATGAATTTTGCTGAATCTTTCCAGAATTTTGCGAAAGCAGAATTTTCTGCAATATCACAGAATTATGCAACAATATTCTGACTATTCTCATAGCTTTTGCCGAATTTACACAAAACTGCAGAATTTTGCCAAATCCTGCATGAATTTTCCACAATATTTCCAGAACTTTGCAAATTAAAGCAGCATATTGTGAGAAATAACACAATTACGCATTTTTTCAGAATTTTCCCAATGTCAGAAGAATTCTGTGAAATGTAACTGAATTAGCCATCAATGTTCTCAGTACTCTCACATATTTTCCAGAATTTTGCCAAACATTTCCACAACTTTTCCAATTTGAGGATAATTTTGCAAAATATCATCAAACGCACTACCCTTACAGATTTTGTTGAATTTTTCGAAATTCTAGCTGAATTTTNGAGAAATAACACAATTACGCATTTTTTCAGAATTTTCCCAATGTCAGAAGAATTCTGTGAAATGTAACTGAATTAGCCATCAATGTTCTCAGTACTCTCACATATTTTCCAGAATTTTGCCAAACATTTCCACAACTTTTCCAATTTGAGGATAATTTTGCAAAATATCATCAAACGCACTACCCTTACAGATTTTGTTGAATTTTTCGAAATTCTAGCTGAATTTTAGCAAATATTTGGAGATCTTTGCCAGTTTAAGGAGAATCTGCGAAATGTAACAGATTTACGCAAGAATAATCACACTAGTCTCGCAGGTTTTTCTGAATTTGACGAAATCCTAGTACAATTTCGGGAAATATAACAGCATTACGCAAGAACATTCACAGTACTCGTAAAGATTTTTGCGGAAATTTGCCAAATCCTTTTTATAAACAGCGCAGAGATTTGTAAAATAACTCAGTGTTTAAACTCTGCTTTCACTGATTGCTTGTATTGTAACTCCACGTATTGTATTGATCACTTTTTTTCGTTCAATAAGCCTAAAGAACATCATTCTCATTTTGTATAAACATGTTCAAATCAATCGATTTGGTTCTTTATAGGCAAGAAAATAAAATATGAATCAACAAGTACTGCAATAGTGCAGACTTTATGTTGCAGAGAGCATAGAAAATATTATAGTTTGAGCTTGTTTTCACACTACGGAGAATTGATTTCCGCGAAAAGTTCTTATACCCTTTCTAATCATACTATTTTATGACAATCGACGAGTGGCACTTGAAGGCCTTCCATTGTAAGAACAAACGTTTAGAAAAATCATTTTCTACCAATGTTCTCTGTTCTTAGAATATTTCTTACACTGAGAGAGAACCGCAGGCTACTTGTGAGAAGGATCAAGAAGAGAGTGGGAGAGATGATAAAAGGCTAATTATTTTAACATGATACAATGCTGTAGTCGAAGAGACAGAAAAATAATGAACATTAACTCAATACAAACAACAAAAACATAGAGCAAAACGGCATATCGCTCCATCGATTCTATTTATCAAACCATATCCATATATGAAACTTATTGTAATCAAAAATAAAATTATTGAATAATTTATTCATGAAAATTAGCCATGGTTCCAAATCAAATTGTTCAAATGATGTTAAGTATATATCTAAATAGTTGATATCCGTTAATTTTTCAACTAATATTGGTAATATTTCATACACATGATCAATTATTCCAAAAGAAACCTTAAGTGATTTTACACTTGGAAATAATTTACATAAACAATCCACATTGTCTAACATCAAAACTTCGTCGTCAACCAATTTTAGTTTCTTTATTTTAGAATATGATTTACTACTATCGTTTTCCTTTAGCATTTTTAAAGAACGTGTACTATTTAGGTTCAATGATTCAATGTTTGTTCCACAATCAAGAAGAATTTCTAACAGATCCAACTGAGAATGATAATAAGATAAATGAGTGAATTGAGACAATGTAACCAATTGTTCAAGATTTACTAGAATTGTTGATAACGACGCATTATCAACAACAATACATTCATTTTCATCTTGATCACTTAACACTGTCAATGACCGTGCATTTTTGAATTTTTCACGCACAGTTGAATTCCAGTAAAACTCGCCTAAAACATACATAAAGATGAATTAGTCCTACGAAATTCGTCGAAATTCTCTCTACCTAAGACATGAAATTGAAACGCCATACACATTTGTTAAAGATTAATTTATCCTAATTGCTTTATTGCTAGTAGACTCCTGCGGGACAAAATTTTCACAGGATGGATACTTCGGAGTTGCCGCAACGAGCCCGTGAGCACAAGTACATCAAGTTCTTTTGTCCCTATCCCGTCTCTCCCACGAGACGGGATGGGATCGGGGCTGCCTCGCAGGAGTCTACTTGCTAGATATATCATAGTAATGCACAGTCCTATTCTCGATACAGAACTTGCACAGGTCATTCCTAAAACAAATTTAGTGAACACGAGTTCGGGTTCTGGCTACTGAAGATACATAAAACAACACAAAATTTTCGATAATTTATCATTCGCTTCGCCTCTTCGTGGAGATAACGTCTCTCATTTGCGTGAAAATGAAATTTAAAGGAGGATTTAGGATGCAGAGTCCTTCTTTTGTGAAACTGACTTGACAGTTTAGTGTATCGTCAAGATTCTGCACAACTGACTAGTGCTGATCCCTTTCGTTCACATTTTGAAAAAACTTCTATAATTTCAAAATAGGACCTACACAAAGCAACAAAATGTTCTCCTGTGAAATGTGTCGCAGCTATTCTTGTTCTAATACTAACGAGAAAACATTTCTGGATCATCAAACGATTTTTATGTGAAACACAGTTAGTCTTGCTAAAGCAAGCATGCTGATTGCAAGTATTACATGATATCCGTTGCAGCTTATACGAAGAACTTAAGCACACATCGGAAAGTCGATCTGTAAAAAACCAAAAGCAATTGATAACGGAATTTTTCTGAGATTATCATTTTGTACAACGTGTCAAATTACGTATATTTATCAAACTTTTTGTACAAACATGTTTTGAGAAATTTTATTAATTAGAACGATTATCGAATATAGAAGCTTGTTGACAATCACATTTCACAGGCAAAATCTTTTGAAAGGCCTCAAACTAACATAACATATTTCATTTGACACTCTCTACAAAATGACAATCTAAGAAAATTTCTACGATTAATTTTTTTCGGTTTTCCAGAGGCAAGCTTCCAGAAACCTCCTTAAGATTAAAGCGTTCCGTATTTTATACCTTTCCTGCATATTAATTCGCACACATACACCGTGTATGTCACAGATATGTAAATTAAACAGTCTTTGTTTATGTCTGTAGCAGTACATTATAATCGTGTCCGATTCGTGTCACTACCTATTTAATGTAAAATCGATTAAACAACTATGAATGTTTCTTTGTAAGTCTCGTGATCGGGTGATGTGTTTGCCAGATTTTTATGGTATTACAATACATGAATTTCAGTATGTGTCATTTTTCCTATGGAATACCATTCACACCATTACGGATATATATATATATATATCTGTATGCATGCTTAGTACGATTATAACGCTTTAACCAATGAAAACTGAGAAATAACCCATATCTTTAGATTATGCGATGAGAATGCAACACAAATCTTAAAAGACGTGCGGTAAGAATTATGTTTTACTATTTTCTATTTTTCAGCAGAACGAAAAATACAGATGGTATAAATAAAAGTTTTAGATATAAAAACGAAGAAAACGTCATTTTCACTACACGTCCTTTAAGAATACTTGACATATTGATAAAGAAAAATGTTAGCAGATTTCTGATGAAATCAGCTTGTACCCTAGACAAAAACTTTTCTGCAGTCTTACGGGATTCTTAAAAATTCTTACACAACATCACGCAGGAAAGTGAATGAACTTTGATAACACTCTTATAAGAATCTGATAAGTCCGAAGAATTTTATAGTGATAAGAAGTTCGTATCTGTTTCTTATAGACGTGTTACAAAATGCTTATTCTTACCGAAGTTTGATAAGAAGTTTTTGACAAATTTTGTCCTTGCAGAAAACTGTGTTTGACTATGAAATAGAAGTCGTTATGCTTTCGAGAGTTCTCTGTCTTTAGTTGTCGATATACTCAGACAAGGAATACAAAATCTACAACTGATTAATCAGAATGGTAGCGACATGACCTTTCATTATCACAGTCCATAATAGCTCAGTGAATAACAGCACGGCATGGCATGCGGTAGGCTTATAGGCCTCAGGTTCGAAACCTAGACGAGTCATGTGATTTTCTTCAAAGTTTTTTGCACAACAAGACGCACCACTGGCGCAGTTAACTTCTTCAGGTTTTGTCAAGAATCATACAGTGAAGTTTGGCACAAAAAAAGCAAGTATCTCGTTCTCACTTCCTTCTTTTCGCATAAAAAAGGCCATTTTTCCACGAAGACTAGATAAGGAGGAAATCATAGTCTGCCGATGAATATTCAAAAGGAAAATGGGGGTTATATCAATGGTATCTCATTTGTAAATCTTGGTTGTTGACAACAAAATATGGCTAGTCAAGGAGATCTGTGCATGTTTTTTCACCTGAGATTTCGATA